AAATATTACCAAAATGCTCCTAGTTATTAAAATAATATAAAATGATAATGGTTAATGTTATATTTAATTGTAGAAATATTCATAAAGAGTAAAAAATTAATGATTAAAGTAAATTTAAAAAATGTAAAAAAAATTATAAATTAGTAAAATAACTTTTTTTAAATGTAATATTTGTTTGTAATAATATTAAAGTATTTATTATAATTTTTAAATATATGAAAAATCAAACTTAGATGTAACTAAAAAAAACTTATTGCAGCAGCGGTGCACCATTGCTCTTGCTTCCTTGGGCGAGGGAAGACGACATTTGTTGTCTATGCGGAGAACATGGACGAAGCGGCGGGCTTCGGCAGGGGCAAGGATTGAGGTGTGTCGGGAAAGGGAAGGGTGGTGAATCGTTATTGTGCCACCTGACGTTGTTCTCGCCATGGCAGGTGCGTTTCTTGGATGAACTACCAAATAGCCACACCTTTCGGCGGTGGTCGACGCAGGTTGCTGAGGAAGATGAGTGAAGCTTGCTGAATCCAAGCGTACACCATGCTGCAACGAAGGCCTGGAACCGAATCCCACAAAACTATAACCAAATACTCAGCCCATAATCGAATACAACGTTTAGCTCAATTTCTTCTGTGCAGTGAAACCAGATACAACATTTCTGGAACCGATTATTCAGTTTGGAATCAAATAGCTTAATTTTTTAGGTGATATACGAAAGGCAAACATGACAATGTCTTCAATTCACCCCAAATCATCTCATAAGAGCGAGTGATAGAAAAATCGGATATCTCGCATATCCGTTTGCTTCCGTTTTTTCAAATCCTCAAATGTGAACACAATTTTATCTTCATTCCTCGCTCCCAATAATGCGTAATAAGTAATTCACCTTCAAGTAAACACAATGTAAGTGAAGAGTCTTAAAATTAGAGATGACGTATGATTATTAATTTAAATATTTTAGATTTAAAGAAATGATTAAGGAATATATTGTTGTAAGTTGTATGATTGGTAGAAATAATTAAGAAAGGTAGTAATGATGAGAAGAGGGGGCATTGGCAGTTCCCATCAATTGATGAAATGAGAAAAGGGTTGAATTGAAGAGAAAGAAGAGAAGAGCAGCCAAAAAGATAATCAAACTCCAAATCATTACATTTTTTTTTCCTTTTGCCATTATTGTGCAAACTGCAAGCAAGCCAAGGGTCCCAAAACCCACCATACCTTACAGCTGTATCTCATCATCATCCCATCATCCCATCAGCCCTTTCTCTCTCTCTCTCCCTCCCTCAGAGAAGTACTTCAAAATATCAAATTATTTCAACTATATTTAGTATTGATAAATTTTTATAGAATATAGTTTTATCCATTCTATTATTAATCCAGCCTATAAATTAGTCAATCTCTTTTTTTTTCCTCAGAGAGAGAAGACATCTCTTTCTCAATGTATACATTAATTATTTTTAATAAAATGTGAATATATTATTATTTTAAAATACATTTAAAATGTGCTTTGTTGATTTTTTTTTTATGAAGAAGAAATATGAATACATAACAATTTTTTATACCATTTTGATCTGCGCCACCAATTTATTTTTTAGAGCAATAAGTCAAAAGTATAGTTATATTATTTTAATAATTATTAGTTAAAATACATGTTTTGTATATCAATTTTTATTACTCATAACAAAAAAATACATATTCAAAAATTAATTATTAAAATATATATATAATGATATTTTATTAATCTTTATTATATATGTAATTTTAATTATAGAAAATAATATAGTTAGTTATGTTTATTGAAATGAAAATGATGAAAGAGTATAACCAATGGTGCAGTTAAAGAACACAATATCTATTAATAACTTTTAGGAGAGTGGAGAAGAATAAGGTGTGTACATATCAAAAGCAAATAAAAAAATGTTAAAAAAGTATTATTAAATAGCATAATTTCTATTAGGTTTAATGGTTTTGTTTGTCCCTATCGTTATCATTAATTTTTCACTTTTAAAAAAATGTTAACTTCGTCTAGACTTTGTGTATAGTGTGCATAGAAATTTTGCAATTAAATTTTAGGTTTTTGAGGGGAAAAATTAAATGTTAATAGAATTAGGTATTTGGAGCAAAGAAAATGAATACGAGGATTTCTATTAGAGAGAAAGAGAAGTTGAGTTTGCGATTTGGAACAAAGAAGAAGAAAATTTGTGATCAAGATTACAAAAAAAGAAGAAGAAAATTTGTGATGAAGATTACAAAAAAAGAAGAAGAAAATTTGTGATGAAGATTACAAAAAAAGAAGAAGAAAATTTGTGATCAAAATTACAAACAAAAGAAGTGAAACTACAAAATCAACTCTTTCCATAGCGAAAGTTGTAGCCATAAAGCGAGCTTAAAAAGAGTTAAAGCAGGGAGAGAAAAATTCAAAGCTAAAATTGAATTCATCTCCCGGGTCCACCACAAAAATCTAGTTAGCCTTTTGGGATTCTGCTTTGAACACAAAGAAAGCGAAGTGCAAAAAATTTATATTCAAGACAATCAAAACTTCCCCTCTGTGTCAATATAAAATCCAAGAAAGCAAGGCCATAAAAATCACATATTTTGAGGATCTTGTAGTAGTCTCTTACACCCATCTTAGTCCAAACTGAATTGTGAGCAAAAAAAAATTGCCTTTTTATTTGTTGTTGCATGGGTAGAGAAAAGTTATATGCTTTCTTAGGTTTTGAAAGAAAAAGAAAGGGTGGGGTTTGATTATGTTGTAGAAGTTGACACATCACTACACTCTTTTGTTACAAAACAACACAATTAATGTAGTCAATGAAAAATTGACAGAATGAATTTGATTGATGCACATTAAACTAACTGTGAATGAAACTAATACTTTTTAAAAAACGAAGAACAAATAGACATGTTACCTTGAAAATAGGAACCAACAAAACAATTAAACCTTTATATTAATTATCTTCATAAGGGTGGAAAGGGTAAAAATTAAGAGTGAGTAAAAAATTATAACTTCATTGCCTTTCACCAAATCGAATGAAAAAAAAATACAAATTTAAATAATATTGAATAAATTAAAGCAGATAAAATGACTATAAAAGAATGAACTTTGAAAAAAAAATCAATAATACTCGACTTGACTCAATAAAGAATAAAAACACTTACTTTTAAGGTTGTTTCTTTATGTACCTCCACATCTTTTCAAAATTCCAAAATTATCCTCTGTAATAAAATTTCCTACACTCAATTTTTTGTGCTTCAACGGATTTCAAAATCTAATTTTGAAATCCATTAAAGAATTGGAGGGAGGGATAAAGCACCGATGTTTGAAAAAAATTGGTTACTATCAAACATAAAGATGAAGTGGAAGAGTACATACATAAATTTGAGATGTTAATAGGACAAGCAATGGACGTGACAAATGATCAACTGATGATATATTTTTTTGCGAGATTGCATGTTAATATCAGAAACTAGATCCGCCCAGACAATCCCAAAGATCTATTGAGAGACATGGAAATCACTAGAGATGTGGAAGGAGTTTCTAATGATGTAAGGTCTAGTGAGAGGACAACAAATAAAAGTAATTTGTATCAAAAACGTTTTCAAGGAAATAGGAAAGTGGTTTCTCGAGTAGAAACGTTAAAGAGGACTCAGACTGAATCAAGGAGTTCTAGTCATATTAGCACGGTAAAAAAGACGGAGGGGCAGTAACCTTAGACTAAGTGAGATGTTCGCATCAAGGAGAAAACAAAACAAAGGGATGTTCAAATTTACCTTACCTTGAATGAATATATTATGCGAAGAGAAGAGGACAAATATTTTCATTATGGAGGACCATATCATCTTGGTCATAAATGTTCCAATTAAGTATTAATTTTAGGAAAGAACCAAGAGAAAGAAGATAAGGATTAAAGAGGAAGGAACCATTCGTGATAATTTCCAAATTTTTACCTAGAGAACAAGGTTGTTAGGAATTCGAGAAATATTAATTAGGCTCTTAAAGTGTATGTTAGAAGAAAAGAAAGTTCAAAAATAGAAATTACAAAAACAAGTTAGCAATTTATAAAGTAGGGGTTATATTTTAAGGATAAAATTGTCCCTCCTCCTAACTGGTGGATATTTTTGTTTTAGAATAGAGCTTGTCTATTGCAGAAGGAATTTTATTTCCTGAGAAGCTGTTGAATGTTTTTTTATATTATATTTTTCCTAATTAAAATGTGATCATAGTGTAATAAGATTTGTATGATAGTTTCTTAAACTAGATTTGAAATCTGGTTTCTTGTCTCCAAGAAACCTGCCAGGAGCAGTAACAGAAGCAATTACTAAAAACAATCTGTTTTCCAACACTCCTCCCTTAATATGGTATTATATTCTTTTTTATAATTTTCTTTAACAAAATGATATTCATAATTTTTCCTTTGAAATTTTGTAATAGATATTTAATCAAAGTTATTCATTATTAAAAAACACACCCACACATCAGTCAAATAAAAAGAAAATCTTTTACAGTGAGAATTTAAAATGTTGATCTAATTTTTTCATTATCTTTAACTCATTTCTAACCTTCCATAAACCATAAAAGACAATCAATTTATACCGAGTCTTTCTTCAATGCTATGTTAATATCACACATGTTCTTATCAAAAATATAATCAAGGAGAAAAGACATCATTTAAAGAAATCATACTTATAATAATTTTAATAAATGACAATTTTTTGCAATAATAATATAAAAGAAATAATCTAAATTTACCCTAATCACTAGCCCTTATAACCTGAATAAAAGATCTAGCTGGAAGGCAATCAATTTTATACTCTCCAGCCCCACCTCCAAAAATAGATGAACCCAACCAACTGTACAAGATATTAACATTGGATGAACAAAAAATAGACACTTTATATAGGCAAATATTATTAACATACCTGACCTTCAATATTAGTGCTCTATTATTGACATGTCTTCCCTTCAACATCAATACTCTATTATTGATGAACTCTACAAACTATTCATATAAAAATAAGTACATTATTAGCATTTCTCTTGTTAGTTCAACTAGTTTACAGTATCAATTAAAAATGTCTACCAAGCATGTTAAAATAAGCAAGTCTACCAAAATATACCATCCCCACACTGCAACATTAACTGTAATAGATTATGGTCCTATGTACTCTCAAAAGGCACATTATGAACAACAGATTTCTCATCTAAGTACGTTTCAGATGCTTTATATGTGTGTGTGTGTATATATATATATGACTATCACATTTCATACTAGGAGTTCAAATTGGATAGTACGTGTGTGTGTGATATTCCAAGGATCTCACTCGATAACTATGTTGTCGCATCTTTAGAGGTTAGACGCTTAAGATGCTCAAGCTGAACTTTCCAGCTATCGACAAATGAAGCACTCGACCAAGCAGCATCTATAAATACCCGATTTATGAACGGCAGGCATTAAATATTTGCCCTCTCATTGCATCAATCGGCATATGCTCAAATGTGTAACGCTCAGGACCAAAGTACACTCCCGTCCTTTCCAAAAGTGCAATACTTTCATCCCTACCGTATCTTGAAGCATATAGTCTCAGGTACTCGATGTCCTAAATAAAAGTCAAGGAAACGGAATCAAATATCAGAATGCAGAAGAGAAAAACACTTGCAGCTTTACGCCAGCACATGTCATGAATGCAGATCTTCAGGCAAGAAATACAGAAGGGGAAAAGCAAGTAAATAAGGAGGCTGTGACATTTCTTCAAAAAACAAAATGTTAAGAATATCTTATAAAATTGTGAGGAAAAGAAAAAATGTTTTACCTGCAAGCCATTAAGTATGCGTTCTAGTCTAAGAGAAGCCACTGGCTGATGAGAAGTTGAGAACACCTCACCGGGATAGTATAGGACTCCGTCTCCAGGGGGTAGACCATGCCTGAATTTTATCTGTGTCCAAAAATGTATTTTGATTGTCAGAAAATAGTCATATTACCAATGAAGTATAACAAGTTCTAACATCCTTTTTAAGAAGACGGCATAAAAAGCTATACAATCACCTCTGCGCTGGCTACAGTTGCTTTCTCATAGCAGTTGGCCCCCCAGTACAAAAATCCTGTGCCACCCTCTTTCCACACACGCCACATAACGGCACGGTGTTGGGTACCTCGCATTCCTAGATGCCAATTTGGATGAGGATCTGATGGTCCCATACAGACATATGTCCACCATTCCTGTAGCAAAAAACACCAGACCCTATTGAGCAAATAAGAGTATATGCACCAGCACAACATTAATATGCAGTGCTTGTTATTCTTCTGGCGTAGGATATTCCATTATGCATACAAACATCTTGCGATTTGTTTACCAGTTTACTTGGGACTATTTCTTAGTTTCCTCGATTTTCTCCTTATTTTATTAGGATTCTTAGTAAAATAATGGATTTTTAAGGGGGAGGGGAAAGAAGGAAGAGAGGAAGAGCGAGATCCGATAGAACTTGAGTTGTCAAAACAAAAAGAGGATCAAGAGAGATAAGAGGAAACAGTACCAAAACACAAATCGAAGTTGAATAAAAAAGAATATATGTTCGGAATAAGACAAGTGCACAACATAACATAACCAAGTCAAATATATACTATAATCCATAATCACATTTCTTTTCTACTTCCCTCATTCTTTCTTCTACCTCGCAGGTCTGCCTATCTACCACCATTGCCACATTACCACCCAGCCTGTTATTCTAATAGCATCCTTCTGTATGTGGTCAGATTTAGGTCCATGTTATTGGTTTATTTAAAATAGTTAAACTTGGCTTAATTTATTTATTTTTATATATGATGATTAAAGACAAAATTAAAATCTTTTGAAATT